GGTGGTGCGTGCCTGTAATCCCAGCTACTCAGGAGGCTGAGGCAGGAGAATTGCCTGAACCCAGGAGGCGGAGGTTGCGGTGAGCCGAGATCGCTGTCATTGCACTCCAGCCTGGGTAACATGAGTGAAACTCCGTCTCAAAAAAAAAAAAAAAAAAAAAATCTATGTTTCCTTTTTGTCCTTTCAGTTTCTGAGTGCTTTACTATGTGCTGACGCAGTATATTAGGCCCTATGAATTAAACATATATGAGATAGACTCTTACTTCAAGATGGTTGTAATATTCTCATGGTATATAAGGTTTTTTTTGTTTTTGTTTTTGTTTTTGAGACAGTCTCGCTCTGTCGCCCAGGCTGGAGGGTAGGGGCACAATCTCGGCTAACTGCAACCTCCATCTCCCAGTTTCAAGTGATTCTCCTGCCTCAGCCTCTCGAGTAGCTGGGATTACAGGCACCCACCACCAAACCTGGCTAATTTTTGTATTTTTAGTAGAGACAGGGTTTTACCATGTTGGTCAGGCTGGTCTCAAACTCCTGACCTCAAGTGATCCCCCTGCTTCAGCCTCTGAAAGTGCTGGGATTACAGGCATGAGCCACCACACCTGGCCAGTATTTAAGGTTTTTTTTTAAGTTAGTTTAGGCAGGGCGAGGTGACTCAAACCTGTAATCCTAGCGCTTTGGGAGGCCAAGGCAGGAGGATTGCTTGAGTTTAGGAGTTTGAGTCCGGCCTGGGCGACATATCGAGATCGCCATCTCTATAAAAAACTTAAAAATTAGCTAAGCACTGTGGTGTGTGCCTGTAGTCCCAGAAACTCAGGAGGCTGACCTGGGAGAATCACTGGAGCCCAGGAGGTCGAGGTTGCAGTGAGCTGTGATTGCACCACTGCATTCTAGCCTGGGCCACAGAGTCAGACCCTGTCTTAAAAAAAAAAAAAAGTGAGTTTAAAGAAACAAGTTTTTATTTGATGCCTGAAAGGACTTAAGCAGTGCTTCTTGTTTGGGTTTCTTAAGCTAGGATAAAAGGATTGACGCCAGAGGATTGTTCTCTGTCCCGTCTTTCATTACTGCAGGTTGGTCCCAGTTTTCATTGTTTTTCTCTTCATTACTGGGATCAGGATTAATCCCAGTAATGGTAATTACTGCCTAATTACCATTCAGGATTACAACAATGTCTACAGAAAGTGGGCTGTGAGTACTGTTTTCTTTATTTATCTTAAAAATATGTGTTTTAGGCTGGGCACAGTGGCTCATGCCTGTAGTCCCAGAACTTTGGGAGGCTGAGAGGTGGGTGGATCACTTGAGGTCAGGAGTTCAAAACAAGCCTGGTCAACATGGTCAAACCCTGTCCCTACTAAAAATACAAAAATTAGCTGGGCATGGTGGTGCTTGCCTGTAATCCCAGCTACTCAGGATACTGAGGCGGGAGAATTGCTTGAACCGGGGAGCTGGAGGTTGCAGTGAGTTGAGATCGCGCTACTGCACTCCAGCCTGGAGAATAAGAGCGAAACTCTGTTTAAAAAAAAAAAAAAAAAAAAAAAAAAAAAAAGCCTTTCCATGCTATCCACAGAGGTGACCATATGGTGTTTTTCTGGATTCTTGTCGTAACTTAAAGGGAAATTTTCACAGTGTCTGGAGCACTTGATGTCCTGCAAATGAAAAAGGATGTCCTCCTTTTTTCTCCTTCTTTTTTTTTTTTTTTGAGACGGAGTTTCCCTCTTGTTACCCAGGCTGGAGTGCAATGGCACAATCTCGGCTCACTGCAACCTCCGCCTCCCGGGTTCAGGCAATTCTCCTGCCCCAGCCTCCTGAGTCGCTGGGATTACAGGCATGCGCCACCATGCCCAGCTAATTTTTTGTATTTTTAGTAGAGACGGGGTTTCACCATGTTGACCAGGATGGTCTCGATCTCTTGACCTCGTGATCCACCTGCCTCGGCCTCCCACAGTGCTGGGATTACAGGCTTGAGCCACCGCGCCCGGCCTTCCTTCTTCTTTTTTTAAATCAGAACTCTTCAGCCAAAGAAGGATGTCCTTAAGTTCCTTGCAGCAGGAGCCCACTTAGATGGCAGTAATCTTGACTTCCAGATGGAACAGTACATCGATAAAAGGAAAAGTGATGGCATCTACATCAAATCTGAGGAGGACCTGGGAGAAGCTTCTGCTGGCAGCTCATGCCATTGTTGCCATTGAAAACCCTGCTGATGTAGGTGTCATATCCTCCAGGAATACTGGCCAGAGGGCCGTGCTGAAGTTTGCTGCTCCACTGGAGCCACTCCAATTGCTGCTGCTTCACTCCTGGAACCTTCACCAACCAGGTCCAGCAGCCTTCCGGGAGCCACGGCTCCTTGGGGTTCCTGACCCCAGGGCTGACCACCAGCCCCTCATGGAGGCATCTTATGTTAACCTATCTACCATTGCTCTGTGTAACACAGATTCCCCTCTGCGCTATGTGGACATTGCCATCCCATGCAACAACAAGGAGCTCACTCAGTGGGTTTGATGTGGTGGATGCTGGCTCGGGAAGTTCTGAGCATGCGTGGCACCATCTCCCGTGGACACCCTTGGAAGGTCATTCCTGATCTCTGCTTCTACAGAGATCCTGAAGAGATTGGGAAAGAAGAGCAGGCTGCTGCTGACAAGGCTGTGACCAAGGAGGAATTTCAGGGTGAATGAACTGCCCCAGCTCCTGAGTTCACTGCTGCTCAGCCTGAGGTTGCAGACTGGTCTGGGGGCATGCGGGTGCCCTCTGTGTCTATTCAGCAGTTCCCTACCGAAGACTGGAGCGTCAGCCTGCCGCGGGAGACTGGTCTGCAGCTCCCACTGCTCAGGCCACTGAATGGGTAGGAGCAACCACTGAATGGTCTTAAGCTGTTCTTGCGTGGGCTCTTCAACAACATGGAAATAAGGTTGATGGAAAATAAACATCCGTTTCTAAAAAAAAAATGTGTTTTAGATTTAAAAAGGACCAGCCTGGTATTTTTTAATCTATAGGAATCTCTAGGTTCTGTATTTATCTTTTATCCACCTTTGCCAAAAGAAGCTACATAATTTATGACCCTTTTCAAAAACTGTTAATATTTTCAAGACAGTGACAGCAGAGCATTAAACATAGTACAGGCCTTCTAAGCATGGAGCCCTGTACCACTGCTCTGTCATACGCCCATGAAGCCAGCCTTGCTTTTCACAGTTTATTAAAGAAGCTGGACAATTTGTCTACAGTATTTCACTCAGTTTTTTATTTGTTTGTTTGTTTGTTTGAGACAGGGTCTCACTTTGTTGCCCAGGCTGGAGTCACCCAGGTGAGATCTTGGCTCACTACAACCTCTGCCCCCTAGGTTCAAGTGATTCTCCTGCCTCAGCCTCTTGAGTAGCTGGGATTACAGACATTTACCACCACACCTGGCTATTTGTTTTTCTTTTTTCTTTTTTTTTTTTTTTATTATGTTGACAATGGCTGGTCTCGAACTCCTGGCCTCATGTGACCTGCTGGCCTTGGCCTCCCAAAGTGATGGGATTGTAGACATGAGCGACCTTGCCTGGCCAAAATTTCACTGTTTTAATTTTGCTGACTGCATTCCCCTGGTGTAGGTTGAAATTTTCCTCTGTCCTCTGAATTTCCTGCAAATTGGTAATTGCATCTAAAGGTTTAATGATATTAAGATGTAATTTGAGGGGAAGACTACTTAAGGAGTGGTGGCCTGCTTTTTATTAGGTGGCATATAACATCAAATTGTCTTTTGTTGTTTTTCCATTATTATTAGCCGTTGATACCCAATGCTTGGATTCCTTTTCATTAGAGGTTCCAGAATGGTAATATTCAAATTATATAATTGCCGGGCCTGGTGGCTCAGGTATGCAATCTCAGCACTTTGGGAGACTGAGGTGGGTGGATCACCTAAGGTCAGGATCATCAAGCCTGGCCAACATGGTGAAATCTCACATTTTTCCCTTTATTTAAGATATTGAAATGAAGAGATTATATTCTTGTTTTCACCAAGGGTGAACAATTCTTTTTGCAAGAAACATTATTTATGAGCTCATGGTTTTAAACATATCTGATGTGTTTTAGTCTAATGCAACTATTTTCTTTATTTCTTGCTCGAACTGCCTCATCTTTATTTAGTGGGAGCCTCTTCAACGGCCTTCAAGTAATTTTTTTTTGTATAGAGTCTCACTCTGTCACCCTGGCTGGAGTGCAGTGGTGCGATCTCAGCTCACTGCAATCTGCGCCTCCTGGGTTCAAGCGAATCTACTGCCTCAGCCTCCTGAGAGGCTATGGTGTGCCACCATACTCGGCTAATTTTTATCATTTACGTAGAGACAGAATTTTGACATGTTTCCCAGCTTGGTCCTGAACACCTCGGCTCTAGTGATCCTCCTGTCTTGACCTCCAAAAGTGCTGGGATTACAGGCATGCGCCTGGCTATAGTTTTTTTTGTTTTGTTTTGTTTGTTTGTTTGTTTTAGATGGTGTCTTGCTCTGTTGCCCAGGCTGGAGTGCAGTGGTGTGATCACTACTCACTGTAGTCTCGACCTCCTGGGCTCATGCAGTCTTCCCACGTCAGCCTCTCAAGAAGCTAGGGCAACAGGTATGCACTGCCATATCGGGCTAACTTTTAAAATTTTTGATAAAGACTGTCTCGCCATGTTGCCCAGGCTGGTCTCAAACTCCTAGGCTCAAGTGATCCTCCCGCCTTGGCCTCCCAATGTGCTGGGACTACAGGTATGAGCCACCCTCAGCTGTTCATTTATTTTCTATAGGTAACTTATCTGGTTTTTTAATTTTCTTTTTCCTTTTAAAAAATATTAACTTTGTATGAGATTTAGTGTGGATCCTCTTTGTTTATTTGTTTATTTATTTATTTATTTATTTTGGGGATGAAGTTTGCCTCTTGTTGCCCAGGCTGTAGTGCAATGGTGTGATTTTGGCTCACTGCAATGCCTGCCTCCTGATTTCAGGAGATTCTCCTGCCTATTCTTTATCCTCCTGAGTCGCTGAGATTACAGGCGCATGCCACCACATCTGGCTAATTTTGTATTTTTAGTAAAGATGGGGTTTCACTATGTTGATCAGGCTGTTCTTGAACTCCTGACCTCGAGATCCACCTGTCACGGCCTCCCAAAGTGCTGGGATTACAGGCATGAGCCACTGAGCCCAGTCTGTTATTTATTTTGACTTTACATTAGCTTCCCAAACTTTAAGAAGCAAGGTGTAATTTAATATTGCCTTTCTAATTTGACAGCTCTACAGTGCCACCTTCTGTTGTTTTTATGAGAAGTTTAATTGTAGGGCATCCTACTTTCTGGGATGTGACCGCATCTCTGTTGGTCCCTCTGTTTTACTGGAGCCCTCATCTTTCCTTTATGCCCTTTGTTCAAGAACTACTTAAATCCTCAACACTCCTGGGAAGAGATTTAGCGGGTTAGTTTTGAGAGCTTATGGGGAGAACTCTCCCAGCCTATTGATATCTTACTGAGGATGCCTTGTGCCAAAACCCTTGGGGTTTCCAATATTATTTTATTTATTTATTTATTTATTTTAAGATGACATCTGACTCTTGTCGCCCAGGTTGGAGTGCAATGGCACGATCTCGGCTCACTGCCACCTCTGCCTCCTAGATTCAAGTGATTCTCCTGCCTCAGCCTCCTGAGTAGCTGGAATTACAGGCACCTGCCACCATGCCTGGCTAATTTTTGTATTTTTCGTAGAGATGGGGTTTCACCATGTTGGCCAGGCTGGTCTCGAACTCCTGACCTCAGGCAATCTGCCCGCCTCTGCCTCCCAAAGTGCTGGGATTACAGGCATGAGCCACCGTGCCCAGCGATATTATTTTCAAATTGGCCATCTGAGTGTCTCAATGAGTGCCTATTGGTTGTTTTGGAAGGTTTTTTCTGTTTTTGTTTTTTTGAGAAAGTTTTGTTCCTGTCACCCAGGCTGGAGTGCAATGGTGCAATCTTGGCTCACTACAAACTTTGCTTCCTGGGTTCAAGCAGTTCTCCTACCTCAGCCTCCCAAGTAGCTGGGGTTACAGGTGCCCGCCACTACACCTGGCTAATTTTTGTGTTTTTAGTAGAGACGGAGTTTTACCATGTTGGCCATGATTGTCTCAAACTCCTGACTTCAGGTGATCCACCTGCCTCGGCCTCCCAAAGTTTTGGGCTTACAGGCCTGAGACACTGTGCCCAGCCTGTTTTAGAATTTTTACATGTCTGGTGCCCCATTTCTTCCCTCTGCTTCCTCCCGCACAGATGCTGCTATCATTTATCTCTTGTGTCTTTTGGTGCTTTGGTGCTACCTGCAGATGTTTTGGGGTTCCATGGAATTGCTGTACCATCTAGTTTGGTTGTAGGTATCATTCAAGGATTTTTGTTTGTTTCTATCCTAACTGTTCTGTGTCAGTTTTGTTTTTTAACTGAAAAACAACATTTTTGAACTACTAAAGATTTTTTTGTGTGTGGTTAGCTCTTGAGCAGTCATTGTCATTAAGTTTCTGGCATAAAATACGCTTGTCATCTTCTTTTGGGATGCTGCATCTTTTGGGATGCAGGGTATTAGTATTTTCAATCTTGGTAAGATTGTTTTGACCTAATTAGATCAGAAATATACACAGGACTACACCTCAAACTGTCAAAACTGATAAAAGGGCACGCTAGATTTGAATATCTCTTTCCTTTGATTTAGATATCCCCATTTTTGAGACTCCATCTTATAGGAATAGAAACATTTATATCAAGAAACATGTATCCAAAGAGTGTTTTTGTTTTGTTTTGTTTGTTTGTTTTTGAGACAGGGTCTTGCTCACCCAGGCTGGAGTGCAGTGGTATGATCTCAACTCACTGCAGTCTCCACCTCCCAGGCTCAAGTGATCTTCACACCTCAACCTCTTGAGTAGCTGGGACTACTTGAGAACAAATTAGCCTGGCCATTTTTTTGTTTGTTTGTTTTTTGTAGAGACAGGGTCTCACTATGTGGCCCAGGCTGGTCTTGAACTCCTGGGCTCAAGCAATCCTCCTGCCTCAGCCTCCTAAAGCACTAGGATTACAGGCATGAGCCACGGTGCCCAGCCTAAAATATTAAAGCAACATTATTTGTAGTGATTTTGTAAAAAAAAAAATAAGTTGGAAAAAAAACCCTGTCTGTTCATAATTGAGGAATGATTAGATTATCTGTAGAATGTGTATTTCTGGGTTGATAATGTAGTTATTAAAATGAATTAGAGGCCGAGCACTGTGGCTCACACCTATAATCTCAGCACTTTGGGAGGCCGAGGTGGGTGGGTCACTTGAGGTCAGGAGTATGAGACCAGTCTGGCCAACATGGAGAAACCCCGTCTCTACTAAAAATACAATAAAACTATCTGGGCATGGTGGTGTGTGCCTATAATCCCAGCTACTAGGGAGGCTGAGGCAAGAGATTCACTTCAACCCAGGAGGCAGAAGTTGCAGTGAGCCAAGATTGCACCACTGCACTCCAGCTTGAGTGACAGAGCAGGAGTCTGTCTCAAAAATAAAAATAAAATGAATTAGAGCTATATTAATTATCCTGGAGGAATATTCATAATCCTTTTTGTTTAGGAAATTTTTTAAAAACTTAGAAGTAAGGCAACAAGGATTATTATAAGATATTAATATTCTGCTACAGCATTTTCTAACAAATTAGGCTAAAGGTCTTCTGGTTTTCTTGGGACTATAACTTGATTTACTGTTTGTAAGTGATTAGAGCCTAGGCATTTTGCAACTTTGTAAAGTTGGAGATTGAATTGTAGAAAACATGTAAGATGTACATTTATGGATTGTAACCCCCCCCCAATATACTTATGTTGAAGCCCCAACACCCAATCTGACTGTATATGTGGATAGGGCTTACAAAAGGAGGTAATCAAGGTTAAATGAAGTCATAAGGGTGGGGCTTCACTCTAATAGGACAGACT